AGACATTCAAGATGTAGAGACTTGAGAGAGAAGAGGTCCAAACCCTCTCTCTGGTAAGACCACGTGGAAATACTTAGATGAATAGAAATGGGTTAATATTTAAGGCAGAGCTAGCCAATAACAAATGCTAGTAAATGGCCAGCAGCTTTATATCTAATACAGCACCTCTGTGTGTTATTTGGGGTTGATGTGGCTCTGGGACCAGGCTGGCAGGAAAAACTGATCGTAACAAAATGGTGCCTGCAACATGGGTACTAAGAATTTCCACTTAAAACTTGACAAAAGCTTAAGAAAGGATTTTAAAAACAAAAGAACAAAGACATTTGTTCTCGGTTGGGCTCTGTTTTGCTAGAGACAAGCAGAGATTGTAAGACCCTCAGAATGAGGAGTCTTCCAGGTTCGGTCGATACCCCAAGAACTCAATGTCCAGTCCAGTTGCTGCAAAACGCAAGAGGCTTTAATGAACAGGAAATGTTTGCGCAAACGGGCTCCTCCATCACGCAGGCTAGGGAGAAGCCCCCTCCCCCGGGCACAGGTGTTTTTAAAGGCAACCCCACAAGCTTAGGGAGGGGGTGGGACCCTCTGTCCATTGAGTATGTGACCCTTGGAGGCCGGATGGTCTGCTATTAGGGTCAGCAGACCTTAGGGCCTCAGGTGTGTTAATTAATCTTGTCTGGGCAAACCAGAGTTACAGCTATCTCTTGACCCTATTTACCACCTGTTGACTCACAGGAAAGGAGGGGCAGTGTGAATTCTTATCTCAGGGCCTTTTGAGAGGAAGCTAGCAAATTCCAAGGAACAGATATTGGTTTCTAGGTTAGTCCATCATTAACATTACTTTTTAGGTCTTTCAAGATTTGCTCGGCTCCTTTAACGGAGGTTTCCTGACTTGGCATAAATGGCAAACCCTGCTAACAACTTAATGGTGTGTATGAGAGCTGGCAGCAGCAGAGACCACATCTCCAATCCAGCAGCATGCTGCTTGATGGCAGCATGGACCAAGGCAGTGAGCACAGCTCTCAATGCTGGCAGCAATCATACCCCCCCCCACCCCACCCCCCGCCATCTTGGATAGACCATGGTTAAAACAGCTGTGGCTTTCATTTTAGCAATGTTGTTTGGCAGATAAAAGAGTTGTGGCCAGAAAAAGATAAAGATTTACAGTAAAGACAGATTCAGATTAAGAAAAACCTCTAAACCTCTAAAAGTTTACAGTGTGTTTTAAAATATACATAGGTTTGGGAGAGAAAAAAAAGTAGTTAAAAAAAAAATAGAAAAAGAGTATCTGGGTGTGGTGATACATGCCTTTAATTCTGCACTCAGGAGGCAGAGGCAAGCAAATCTCTGTGATTTCTTAGTGAATCTGGTGTACAGAGTAAATTCCAGAGCAGCAAAAGTTACATAGAGAAACCCTGTCTCAAAAAATGAAAAATAGAAGTAAAATAAATACAGTAATAAGAAAGCCACATGAAGGTGAAAAGTATACAAAGAGTCTGAATACTGTATGCTATTGTATGTCTTTGTATTGTTTGACTGAGGAAATAGGAACAACTGTTAAAAGAAATGCTGCTGAATTAATCATATATATATGTATATATATATATATACATACATACATACATATATATATAATGCTTTGACTTCAAAATTTAAGTCTAAGGACAGGTTACTGGAGAAAAAAATTTCTAGTTTTGTTCCCACAGAAAAGCTGTGGAATCCTTCCAGACTAACATGGTTTGATCAAGCCAGACCACCTGAAGCAGTGTCCCAGGTGATCCAACATTCAAAACAGCTGGGACAAGGCAGCCTTGCAGACTACAGCCAGGATTTTTGTGTCTTCTTAGGATTCCCCCATGACAGTGCCCCCTACCAGCAGGAAGCAGTTTGGAAAGAATGATGCCCACATTCCCAAGTATTGTTTATAAATGTTTGTTTTCATTTAAATGGGGTTGATTATAAATGGTAATGATCACAGCCAATCTCTTTTTAAAGGAAAAAGAGAGGATATGACATAGAAATGAATACTTTGTTTTGGAATGGATTTTCATTTATTGATACAAATTTAAGGTCAATTTTGTGATATGTATATTTCTCCTCTTGTTCAGGTATTGTGTTTAGATAGCTCAATCAAAAATGTAATGTATAATATAGTACAGATTATAGTTACCTGTGACAGCCAAAACTTATAGTTAAGTTAGTTAGGTTTTCTAGATATACAGAGATATATTTCAAATGGATAGGCATTTTTCAAAGACCTACAGAATATGGCATTTAAAATGGTTTAGGGTTTTTCTTGACAGTGAGACATAACTGCTCCTGGGAACACCACCTTCGTCAGAAAGAAAGATGGACATCAAAGAAACTCATTATGGGGTTTGCTTCCAATATGTCCAGACCAGCCATTTGGGCAAGAAACTGCTGTTGTCTGGACTGTTTGACTTTATGCTGTATAAACTGGATGTGCAGGACCCACAGGAAAGTGACTGCTGAAACAAGATGGACAAGATGGTAGGTGATTCAGAGCTGTATGAGGAGTATGATGAGCAAGCCAGGAAGGAGCCAGTCAGCAAGCAGCATCCCTTCAAGGCCTCCGGTCCTGCCTCCACGGTCCTGTCTCGTGTTCCCATCCAGATTTCACTGGTGTTTGGGGGCTGTAATCGGAACCAGCTGATCAGCCTGGAGTCTGTTCCTGAGTGGGGGGCCTGTGGATGAGGGAAAGGCTAGCTATAACCGATAAAGGAAAGACAGAGACATAAGATAGAGTCAGGAGGGCATATTCAGTCCAAACTAAATGCACCCCAGTTTATTCATACACCAGTTTAAGCAATCAACCAAATGTGGGACGATGGCAGAAGACTTCTATTATGTATAAAGGGCAAATAGCAATTACTTCCCTTAATCCCAAAGACATCCATAGCTGCACTATACTCTGTGCCTTCAGGTACTCCATAGCACATATCACCTAGCCTTCAGGGTGAGTGTAAACCCCTCTAGGACCAAGTCTATTGATGTTTAGATAGGAGCCATTCACCACGAGGCCTGGGCATCCTGTAGCTGTTAAGCTAATGTCTTAGAGACAATAGGAGTGATTTGAGCTCTCTGAACTCATGGCAGGATGGGATGGATTCCATCTATGTCCCAACAACTCAATGATGGACTGTGATGTGGAATGACAAGCTGGAACAAACCCTTTCCTCCCCAAGTTGATTTTGGTCATGGTATTTCATCACAGCAATAGAAACCTGACCAAGACAGTGTATTGGAAGACAGATTAGCCAATAGCACCAAGCTTCTTTGCAATTTAAATAAAAATTGCAAAATGTTTTGAGACTCAATTTTGGAATACTAAGGGTGTTTGATTTCTAATTTCTATTCTCTGTCGAACAAAAGCAGGTCATTCCATTGATATGTATCACACAATGCATTTTCTGTCCTGCTGATATAAATTCAACACCAACTCTTCAGACACGTCAGTTATGAGCATCCAGTGTATCATATAACCACAGCTCTCTAACACTGGACAAGAATGGATGCTGCTAGAGTAGCGTCGCCTCCTTTGATGGATGCTGAGCATGGCTAAGCCATGCCTCCACCTCCACCTGATCTCTCTGAGACAGGGTCTTTCAACGAACCCAGGACTCACTGGTTGCTTAGTGATTGCTTCAGTGAGTCCTGGTTATCTTCTTCCTGTCTCCATCCTTCAGGACCAGGAGCACAGATCTTCAGGACCAGGCCTGATTATCATGTGTGTGGTATCCAAACTCAGATGCTATGCTTGCTCTGCAGACATTTTACCCTGACACACATGTTCCAGTTAAGTGAGGCTGGAGAGATGTTTACCTTCCTGCCGTTTTCAAGTCTACTTCTTTTAGGTATAGAAAGGATTGACACACTAGCCTCAAGTAGGGGCAGTTATTCCAAGTGCATCCTTAACTCTCCAGTCCACGTCTGTGGAAAAATCTGCCCTTTAGCCCCCCCCTTTTTTTTTTAATGCCAGGAAGCACTTTAGGGACATTCAAACCCAGAGACACCCGATGGACTCGGGAAGGACATAAGGAGGTTAGGAAAATATTGCAACAGTCCTGCAACCCAAACATTCGGGAGACAGAAGCAGGAGGATCGCCGCGAGTTCCAGGCGAGTTCTGTCTTAAAAGGAGGCATGCCAGTCATGGTGGTGAATGCCTTTAGTCCCAGCACTGTGGAAGTAGAGGCAGATGGATCTTTGTGAGTCTGAGGCCAGTCTGGTCTGCACAAGCGAGCTCCAGGACCGCCAGAGCTACAAAGAGACAGCCTGTCTCAAAACAACAAAACAGAGGTGTCGGGGTTGAAGCTCAAGCATAGGATGTGTAGCTAGCATTGCAACACTTGTTCTGGGAACGGTCACTCCTCCCTCTCAAGGCCAAGGTCAGATTTACTCCGGTCCCTTAATTCCTGCGCCGCCCAACCTCCAAACCCCTTGCCCTGCCCTCTTCCCCGGGCTCCGCAAGCTCTCTGGGTGGGCTCAACCCTGCGCTCAGGATCTCTCCGCCCCGCCCCGCCCCGGCCCCGCCCCGGCCCCGGCCCCGCCCCCGCCCCCGCCCCCGGCCCCGCCCCCGGCCCCGCCCCTGACCGGGCCCGGCCTTCGCGACAGTGCGGGCGCTTTCCGGCCTGCCGCGCGAGCGTTGACGTGTCGAGGGGGCGGAGCCTAAGCCGGCTAAGCCTTGGCTTCCACTCGCACGGTCCCGGCTCCAGCGGCGCGTCTTTCCCTGCAGTCATGGCTGTGCACCGTGGCTCTGCACGGGCCGCCGCCGCCTCGGGTAGGCTGGCTGAGGGTTGGCGACAGGAATGGTGGCCCTAGTGAGGAAGGGACAAATTGAGGGAGATGGAGGGCCTGCAACCCAGAAGCTCGCAGCAGCAGTTCGGTCAATGGCAGAAGCCAGTGGGTGGAGGCCCCAAGCTGTGGGGACTTCGGTTTTCCTGCGCACTCATGTCCCCCGTTTCTTGGTTGTAGATAAAGTACAGAAAAGCAAGTCTGCACGGCCGTCAGGGCTCAGGCAGGGCAGCCGCATGGAGAAACTTTTGGGGTTTGAATGGACAGATTTATCTAGCTGGCAGAGTGTCGTGACCCTACTTAACCGACCGACGGACCCTGCAAACCTGGCAGTCTTTCGTTTTCTCTTTGGTAAGTCCGTTTTCGGGATGGGGGCATTTTGACTGGGGGGGGAGGGGAATGACATCCTATTTCTTTCTTTCTTTTTAAAGATTGATTGATTTATTATGTGTGCAACTTTCTGCCTCCATGCATTCCTGCACGCCAGAAGAGGGCACCAAATCTCATATAGATGGTTGTAAACCACCATGTGGTTGTTGGGAATTGAACTCAAGACCTGTGGAAGGGCAGTCAGTGCTCTTAACCTCTGAGCCATCTCTCCAATCCCGACATCCTATTTCTTTTTAAGATTTATTGTTTATGTGCGTGTGTTAGTTTGCTTTCTGCTATTGTGATAAAACAAGAGGCGACATGGAAAAGAAAGGGTCGCAGCTCATCATGAAGGGATGTCAGGGCAGGGATCTGGAGGGCAGAACAGAAGAAGGGGCCGTGGAAGAACGTGGCTGCTGGCTTGCTCCTCACGATTTGCTCAGCCTGCTTGCTTTTACCACCCAGGATCACCTGTCCACACAGTAGGCTGTGCCCTCCCACATCAATGCTCACAGGCCAATCTGATCGAGGCATTTTCTCTATTGAGGTTTCTCTAGATCGTTTTAAATGGACAAAGATTAACCAGGACAGTCTCTGTGTGGATGTATGCCAGGTCACTGTTTGCTTGGAGAAGCCAGAAGAGGGTGTTGGGTTCCCTGGAACTAGAGTTAAAGGCAGCTGTAAGCTGCCTGATATGGGTGCTGGGAACTGAACTGTGGTCCTTTAGACCACATCTGATCCATTCTTTCTAGCCCAGTCATCCATTTCTTAGATGTTCTCTTTTCCTTAGAGCTGAAGGTATTAGCGAATGGTAGAATTCCTTAGGAGTTTAGAACCATACCAGGCCTTGTCATCTCTAGTTAGGGTTTAGTATTTAGAAATGCTTTCTTTGATCTGAGGCTATATAGGATGCACAGATTAGAGGAACGGGTTGGAGCATGGGCATGTGCTCTGTGGGTGTGTGTGCGTGCATGTGCGCGTGCTTGTGTATGTGTGTGTCTGTGCATGCATGCATGTGGACCAGAGATCAATGTCAGGTGTCTTCCTTAATTGTTTATCTGCCTTATTTTTGAGCAAGGTCTCTCCTGAACCCGGAGCTCACCACTTGAGTTAGACTGGCTGGCCAGCAAACCCCAGGGGTCATCCCATCTCCCTGCCTGCACAGTTCAGCTACTGTGCCAGGCTTTTTGCACGAGTACTAGTGATCTGAACTCATGCCCTCATGCCTGCAGCCAGCCCTTTTATTTTTATTGACTGCATAGTATGCCCAGCTCTGTAGTTTGAAATGGTCTTATCCTGTGGACCAGGCTTGTCTGGCTTCTTGAGTGCTCTTCTTGCTTTGGCTTGTTTGTTTTGGGGGTTTGTATGTTTGAGACACGGTTTCTCTGTAGCTTTGGAAGCTGTCCTGGAACTCACTCTGTAGACCAGCTGGCCTCGAACTCACAGAGATCCACCTGCTCTGCTTCCCATGTGCTGGGATTAAAGGCCAGCACCACCACTGCCCATCTTCGTCACCATCACACCTGAAGGGACCTATTTTATTCCCGTCAGGAAGCTGCTTAGGAGCTGTGTTAAACACTCAGAGAAGCAGTCATAACAGCTCACAGAGTTAAGATGTGCCAAAATATTACTCCTTTAAATCCAGTAGTTTCTCTGGGTGTTGGTGGTGCATGCCTTTGTCCTGGCAGAGGCAAGCAGGTCTCTGGGAGTCTGAGACCAGCCTGGTCTACAGAGCGAGTTCCAGGACAGTCACCAAAGCAATAGAGCAACCCTATGGGTAAATACCTCTACAGATAATTAACCAGGCTGGTTAAAGCAACTGCTTTTGGGATTGAGAAATCTTGCCTGAACTCAAACCGGCTTCCAGATCTCTCAGTGTCCCTTATTTATCTTAGTGTGATCACCAAATACCACTTCTTCCTGTGTGTGTCAGGGACAAAAAAAAAAAAAAAAAAAGAAGTGTTAACCCTAGAGCACTTTCTGTGGCTCAGTAGGATGTAGTGGGGTGTATCTTTATAAATGTAAGTACTTGAACCCTACCAGTTTCTATGGTGTTTTGTACATAGCTCTTATTTAATCCTGCCTGTAACCCTGTGACGTTTTGCTACTGTTTGTCTTGTTTGTTGCCTGCTTTTATTTCTTGAGACAGGGTCTCAAGATGTATAGTCCTGGATGTCCTGCAACTCACTATGTAAGTCAGGCTGGCCTAGCACTCACAGAGATCGGTTTGTCTCTGCTTCCCCAGGGCTGGGATTAAAGGTGTGTTCTAGGCTTGGGAACTATTTTTTTAGAACGTTTTTTTGTTGATATGTATATTTGTGTGCGTGTATGCACACACTCCAGCATGTGTGCACAGGTGAGAGCCCCTTTGTGTGAGCACAAAGGTTAGAAGATGATCTCTCTGCCCTGAGCCTCTGGGACTTGCAGTTTCTCAGCAGTCTGGAAGCCAGCAAGCCTCCTGTTTCTACCCCTTTCACAGCTGGAATTGCATATGCTTCTAGAATTCCCAGCTTGTTATGTGAGTGCTGGGATCTGAGCTCCAGTCTTTGGATTGTTGTTGGGCCATCTCTCCAACCTGCCTCCCTACCCCTGTACAAAGTATGAGCATGGTTGTTAGAGGTGGGAATTGGCTCACAAAGCTTAAGGATTTTGTCAAGGTATACAACTAGCATAATTCCTGCACAAAATAGACTCAGCATTAATATTAGTGACTGTTACTTTGAGGTTTTTTTGAGACAAGATTTTTCTGTTTACCTCAGGCTGGAATTGAACTCACTATGTAGCCCAGGCTGGGCATGCTTAGAGCTGTGTCTTGCCTCCTTCGTGGATGCTTAACAGTTATCTTCCCCTGTTTGCCTTCATAGCATTCTTGATGCTACTGGACATTCCCCAGGAACGGGGCCTTAGCTCCCTGGACCGAAAATACTTGGACGGGCTGGATGTGTGCCGCTTCCCCTTGCTGGATGCCTTGGGCCCACTGCCACTTGACTGGATGTATCTTGTCTACACCATCATGTTCCTGGGTGAGGGGAACTGGGTGCTGGGGATCTGAACCCGGGAGAATTGACCGGCCTGTCAGAAACTCACCAGCAGCTCGCTGGATGTCTTTTGCTTCTGCTGTGACCCAGCTTCACGCTGCTCATCTGTTGTCCTGTGAGCTGTCGTGGTCCCATAATTCTCCTTTCACTTAGTTCTCTGCCTCATTATAAAATGCCTGCTGACTCTTCTTAATTTCAGTCCCAGGGAAGCTGGGCCTGTGGTGACACTTTGATCTTGAATCCTCTCCTCACAAACCCCCAGGGGCACTGGGCATGATGCTGGGCCTGTGCTACCGGCTGAGCTGTGTCTTATTCCTGCTACCATACTGGTACGTGTTTCTCCTGGACAAGACATCGTGGAACAACCATTCCTATCTGTATGGTTTGTTGGCCTTTCAGTTGACATTCATGGATGCAAACCGATACTGGTATGTGCCTTGGGGAATAATAGGGATAAGGTGTGTCTGGGTCAGGATGCTTGCAAGAGAGATAGGGGCCCAGTGAAGTCCTAGAAATTGTCACATAGGCACAATTGTTATTGGTGGTTTGGGTTTTTTTTGGGGGAAGGGAGGATTTGATGTGGGTTTTGTATTGCTGTACGTCAGGCTGGTCTGGAACTCACTATGTAGTCCAGGCTGGCCTTGAACTACCTGTTCTCCTGTGCTAGCTTGAGTGTTAGAATTATAGATGTGAGCCACCAAGCTGGCTCAAAGCCGTATTTTTAACCAAGTTTTGCAAAGTTGGCTTGGATGGATTTGGGGGGAGCCTGCTCTCTCCTTCCATGTGGGCTCTGGGGACCCAGCCGAGGTTGGCTTGATGGTGAGTGCCCTTGTTTGTTCAGCTGTATTGCTTGCCTGACTTGGATGGGTTTGGGAAGGGGAAGGACCAGCAAACTGGGTGATTGCAGTGACATAGGAAAATGGCTCCTCCCACCCCTTCACCCTTTCCATCTCCCCAGGTTATCTACTCCTGCATCCCTGTTAGAAGAGAAGACTAAAGCCAGACAGAGCTGTTTTCAGATACCCCAGGGGTGCAGACTTTTACTTTCTGTGTGTGAGCCCAGAGGCAGAGTTAGAGCCAAGCGTAGAAGTTGCTGTGAGGTGGAAATGATAGCGGGTACCAAGAGGAGAGGGACTGCCGGGGCTGCCCGGCAGCGCTGCCCTAGGAGAGAGTAGGCCGCCCCGTCTCTGGCCTAGGTGACCGTCTGTCAGGGGAGGCGGGAAAAGCCCGGGACCCAGGGTGGCGGGGCAGGAAGCCTTGAGAGATTCTTCCCATTGTAGAGTGAGAAGTAGCTGTGGATGGAGATGGCATCACCACTGGCTCTGGAGTACAAATCTCTCTCCCGTAAAGCCTTGTGTGCGTGTGCACACAGGTGTGGGTCGCCCCCGGCCTCCTGTGTGCTGTGAATGCGCAGGGGCCTACGTCCCCAACCCCTAGTCCCCACCTTTGACAGACTTGATGTCAGGATGTCTAGCTTTGATCGTAGAGAATCGAGACATTATTTGACAGATGGCTCCCACTTCCAAGTTCCGTTTTCGTTATTTTTAGACATTGTGGCGGGCGTATTTAAATACTTTTCCTCATTAAAACCCTGTGAAGAATCAGCTGTAGTTGCTCATCGACAGCGCTTTGGGATGCTGAGGCAAGAGGATGCTTTGAATTAGAGGCCAGCCTGGGTTATATGTATAGTGAGACCTTGTCTCAAAACAAACAGATTTGAGGTCCGTAGAGTTGAACTAATTTTGTAGATGAAGTAAGTCTTGGGAAAATAAAGAATCTGCCTAAGTTTACACAACAGGAAGTAAACGAGGCTGCATTGTCCTTGACCAGGTCTGGTGCTTTGACCACAGTGTAAACCACGTTCTCCCTGACGTCCTCAAAACCTGCTTGACCTCAGCCTTGGAATAAGTCTGCTGTTAATACCCTAGCTTTTTCAGTTCTGCCTTGGGATAACATTTTAAATCGGGAGTCAGTCCTCTAGCATGGGATCCTGGCATCCAGTTTTATAAATGCTAATTTATGCTGGGAATTATTTTGCTGGGGAGTATTTTGAATTTATTTTTTCTTTTTTACCTCTTTGGAAGTGGGGGTCAGACTCGGGGCCTTGTACGTGCTAGGCAAGAGCTTAGTCTCTGGACTACTTTATCAATCTTCCCGTCCCCCCTGCAAGATAATATTCTGTATAGCTGAATGTGGTGGTGCACACCTTTATTCCCAGCATCCAAGAGGCAGAGGCACGCGGATTACAGCTTGGGCTACATGGTGGCTTCTAGGCTACCTTGTCTCAAAACACCTAAACACAATACAAAAGATACTGCGCTGAGTGTGTGTGTTTGTGTGTGCGTGTGTTTATGCACCTTCGTGTCTGTGTTTTGATTTTATTTCTTGTGTGTATATATTTAGCATACGTGTGTGTGTGTGCACCATGTGTGTTCCTGGTGCCCGTGGAGGTCAGAGTATGGCACTGGCTTTCTTGGAATTGGAGTCACAGGCAGTTGTGATGCCGCATGGGTGCTGGGAGTTGAACTCAGGTCCTCTAGAAGAGCTCCAGTCCCCCATTTTGTGATTTTTATTGTTCATTTAATTACTTTCTTTCTTTTTTGAGACTGTGCAGTCCTAGAACTTGCTGTGTAGACCAGGCTGGCCTCAAACTCATGGGGGGTCTGTTGGCCTCTGCCTCCTGAGTGCTGGGACTAAAGTGTGTGCACCATACCCAGTCCATTTTTTTTTTTTTTTTTGATTGTATTTGTTATTATGATGTGGGGTTGGGAGAACAAGGGTGCACGTGCTGTGCGTGTGTGTAGACATCAGATCTTTGCAGGCTCCAGGGATGAACTCCAGGTTTCTTTCTGATCTGAGCCATCCAGGGTACCTCTCCCTCAAATTTGTTCCTCCCTGTTTCTGTTATAGCCTTGACCCTGATCTGATTCTTTAGGACAAGCCGAAAAGGGAGCTAATAAAAACACTGTGTATGTGCGTGTTTGTTTTGAGTCAGGCTCTCATTGCAGATCAGATTGGCTGCAAACTTTGAGCAGTTCTGCCTCCCAAGTGCTAGGATTGTAGGCATCTGCCACTATACCCTGCTACACTGAAGTTTTCATTCTTGTTTGTTTGGACACTGTTTCTCTTTGTAACAGTCCTAGCCATTCTGGAACTTGCTTTGTTTGTAGACCAAACCAGCCCCCAACTAATAGGGATCCACTTGCCTCTGCCTCCCCAGTGCTGGGATCAAAGTTGTATGCCACCGTGCCCAGCCAGTTTTTATTCTTATGATTTATTATAGACAGTCTCTGACTTATGGCTCAACCTCAGTGTTTTTAGACATGATAGCAAAGTATACCTGTACTACTCTCTTACTTAGCTGACACAATGTTCAATAAAATATTCAACCCTGTATTGTAGAATAGGCTTTATTTTTGCCCAACTGTAGGCTATTGCAAGTGTTCTGAGCACATTTAACACACTGTATAGTTCATGGTGTGATACCTAGTAGGTTATGTATATCAAATACATTTTCAAATTAAGGCTATTTTCAGCTTATAGGGGATTTATTGGGATATTACTTTACAAGCTACAGAACATCTATAGTAGTGTTTGTTCATGATCTTTTTGTTTGTTTTTGGTTTGTTTGTTTTGAGAGAGGGTTTCCCTGTGTAACCCTGGCTGTCCCTAGCTCTGTAGACCAGGCTGGCCTCAAACTCAGAGATCCTCCTGCCTCTGCCTCCCAAGTACTGGGATTAAAGGTGTGTGCCACCACTGCCCAGCTTGAGAGCTATTTCTGAGGTAGATAGTATTGGCCTAATTGGAGGGTGGCAATGTAGCTGTACTAAGAGGCCTTTCTTGATGTTTTTACCTCCTTCCTGTAGGTCTGTGGATGGCCTGCTAAATGCTCAAAAGAAAAATGCCCACGTGCCCCTGTGGAATTACACAGTCCTGAGAGGTCAGGTATGGGATCTTGTCCACCTGGATCGAGCCAAGAGCCCCCACGTGTTTATTTGATGCTGCCTGTGCCAGGCTAGCTGGCCCTGAGCGTCCAAGGACTCCCCTGTCTCCATCTCCCGTCTTACCGTAAGAGTGCTGTAAATACAGATTCACAATACTATGCCTTACTTCATGTGGGTTCTGGGGATTCAAACTTGAACCCTCATGCATTTGTGGAGCGGACTCTATCCACCATGCACTTCCCAGCCAAGGTATGGGGTTTCAAGATGGGGAAGGGGCCTCTCCTCCGCCTCCCTGGATTATTTCTTGTTTTTAAAAAATACTAATTTATATACCCGGGCATGGTTGTACACACTTTTAATACAAGCACTCAAGAGGTAGAGGCAGAGGATATCTGTGAGTTTAAGGCCAGCCTGGTCTACATACTGAGTTCCAGGACTATACAGTGAGACCTAATTAAAAAAAAAAAAAAAGTTAATTTATTTTGTGTGTGTGCGTGCACATGCATGCAGGCATGTACTTTGCCATACATGTGGAGATCAGAGGATGACTTTTGGGCCTGGGTCCCTCCTTCCACTGTATTGAGGCAAGACGCCTCTTGATGTTTCTGCCCTGCTGACCCATAAGCTTCTAGATAATTCTCCTGTCTGTAACAGTGACTATCGTTACACCCTACTGCATCTCTTTTACACTGGGATTGAACTCAAGTTGTCAGCCTTGGGCGACAAGCACTTTTACCCCTAAGCCATCTTGCTTGTTGGCCCTGGTTCCTTTATTCCTTTTGCTGGAAAGCTAGCTGGGCCCCTCATTTTTTCCCAGTTCCCCAATCCCTGAGTTCCCAGCCCATCATGGAACAAGTGGTCCCTTGTCTGTTGGGTTAGACCCCTCATGAAATAGTCACGTCAGTGCTTTTCTTCCTCTTCCCTTTGTGCCTAATGTGCCTGGCAAGGTGGGACTGTGCTCTGTGTTTTTAGAGCTTCTTGGATGAATGACTATGAGATGAAAGGCTAGAGGAGTGGATACATTCTTTCTTGGGTACTGGCTGAGATGAGAACTTTTATTCTTTACATTTAAAAAAAAAAATTAGTTAACTTTACTTTATGTGCACTGGTGTGAAGCTATCAGTCCCCTGGAACTGGAGTAACTGGGACGGGAGTTATAGACAGGTGTGAGCTGTTGTGTGTGGCTGCTGGGAATTGAACCCCGGTCCTCTGGAAGAGCAGCCGGTGCTCTTAACCACTGAGCCATCTCTCCATCTTTTAAAGTTTCATTTATTTTTATTTATGTATGAATATGTGGCTGCACGTCTGTGTGTACACCGTGTGCGTGCATATGTGTGAGTATGTGGTTATACCATGTGCATGCAGTGCCTACAGAGACTATAAGATGCCCTACAACTGGAGTCACAGCTGGTTGTGACTTCCTCAACTTGGGTGCTGGGAACCAAACCCAGCTCCTCTGTAAGAGCAGCAAGTCCTTGGTTTTTAGCTTTTTGAGACAGAGTTTTCTCTGTAGCTTTGGAGCCTGTCCTAGAACTTGCTCTGTAGACCAGGCTGGCCTTGAACTCACAGAGATCCTTCTACCTCTGCCTCCCAATTGCTGGGATGAAAGGTGTGCTCCACCACCTCCTGGCTTGGGCAGCAAGTCCTTAACTGCAGAGCTTCCAGTCCTTAACTGCAGAGCTTCCAGTCCTTAACTGCAGAGCTTCCAGCAGAAGACAGGGCCTCTGTTTGCGGAAGCATTTGTGCTACGCTTTTCTGTGCAGATCTTCATTGTGTATCTCATTGCCGGTGTGAAAAAGCTGGATGCAGACTGGGTCGAGGGCTACTCCATGGAGCACTTGTCACGTCATTGGCTGTTCAGCCCCTTCAAGTGAGTAGAGTCCAGGTAGAACCCTTCTGGGTTACAGGCACTGAGTGGGTGGTTCAGGTCTATGTAACAGGGGTCTGACATTCGCCATGGCGTATTTGTGGAGGTCAGAGGACAGTTTGCAGAAGTTACTTCTTGGCTTCCACCATGGTGGGTCCCAGGGATCAAAGTCAGGTGTCCAGGCTTAGTTGCAAACATCTTTGTCCACTGCAAACATCACACCAGCCTAAAGCAGTCAATGTTTTAAAACAAGTTCCTTCTTTTTGTTTAAAAAGATAATTTATTTATTATGTATGTAGCCTCTGCATGTTTCCCTGAAGGCCAGAAGAGGGCATCAGATTTCATTATAGATGGTTGTGAGCCATCATGTGGTTGCTGGGAACTGAACTCGGGACCTCTGGAAGAGCAGCCAGTGCCCTTAACCTCTGAGCCATCTCTCCAGCCTCTGGTTTATTCTTTTCCTTTTGAGGTGATACCATCTATTCTAGGCTGGCTTTATGGCCTCGAACTTCCTGATCTTTGTGTTTCCACCTCCTAAGTGTTAGGGTTACAGGTGTCTGACGACGGGGGGGGGGGGGCAGCCCTGGCACTCGCATTTTTATTTCCCTCCCAGTCTAACTTGTTATCGATTCTTTGTGGATTTCACATCACACATCTGGATCCCACTCATCTCCCTGTCCCTTCCCATCTTCCCTGTACCCTTGCAACCTCCTACCCATGATAAAACAAAATAAAACTTAAGAGAAAAAAGAAAAGAAAAACCCTCCCGTCATGGACGCTGTATTGTGACACAGTGACACAGCAAACCCTTCAGTCAACGCATTTATTGCAACGCGTCACTGGTTTGAGGCTTTGGGTTTGGCTACATCGTAGATACGGGGCGCTCACTGGGGTCCTCTAGGGTGCACTGCTGTTGTCCGGGTCATGGTGACCCTGCCACTTTGGGCCTGCAGGGCCGGCCCCTTCACGCCCAGCACTCAGCTTTTAAAGCTTCTCATTTATGATTTCTATGAGTATACTTTTCCATCAAATGTTATCTTAGGAGATTGGGCTTTTACTCATTGTGCAGGGGATACTAAAACAGAGAAAGAGAGAAAGGAAGGAGAAGAGAAGGGAGGAAGGGAGGGAGGGAGGGAGGGCGGAAGGGAGGGAGGGAGGGAGGGAGGGAGGGAGGAAGGAAGGAAGGAAGGAAGGAAGGAAGGAAGGAAGGAAGGAAGGACACCTGTAAAGGTTAAGGGGTTGGTAAACTCCAGTGTAGAACTTTTGTTTTTGGTTTTTCGAGACTGGGCCTCTCTGTGTTGCTTTGGAGCCTGTCCTGGAACTCGCTCTGTAGACCAGGCTGGCCTCGAACTCACAGAGTGCTGGGACTAAAGGCGTGCGCCACCAACGCCCGGCTCAGTGTAGACCGTTTGTGTGAGCGCATTTGTAGCTTAGCTGTTATACCCCGCTGGTGGGTGGGCCCTTCCTCGGGGACAGGTTGCTGTGCCACCTAGAGCTTCGGTTGTGCTGTGGCTGCTGGGTGACCCAGCTGGCTGGGCCCACTTTTGTCCCTGTGTCTGCAGGCTGGTGCTGTCTGAGGAGCTAACAAGCCTGCTGGTGGTGCACTGGTGTGGCCTTCTCCTCGACCTCTCAGCTGGCTTCCTGCTTTTTTTTGATGCCTCGAGATCCATTGGCCTCTTCTTCGTGTCCTACTTTCACTGCATGAATTCCCAGCTCTTCAGCATAGGTCAGTGCCCGCCGCTTGGAGGGAAGCGGTGACTGCGGGGAGCACCTGGGGGGGGGGCTGTCTGTAGGTGGGAGGTGGCGGTGGGGGCAGGAGCTAAGTTGAACCCTGTGTAGTCACTGAAGTCAGAGGTAAAGGGGTCGGCACGTCTAGGTACAACATGCTGCGGTGAAGAACATGCTTCTGTGAGAAGAGCAAGCCAGACTCTTCCCTTAGGGCCAGCGGTGTGGCTCAGCTGCTCCAAGGCTCCCCTGATAGGACCAGAGTCCTGGCTTCCATCCCAAGCACAACACAAAACCAACTGTGATGGCACGCACATCTTGTCCCAGCACCTGGGACATGGAGTGAGTCTAGGTCAAGGTCATCCTCAGCTACACATTGAGTTCTGGGCCAATATGAGACGTTGTCTCAAGAAAACAAAGTCAGACCTTCATTCAAGGAAATACTTTGGAGGTATTTACCTCCCTTTAAGGGAAGGCGGTCCAGGGAGCCTGACCGTATTGCCGCTTCTCCCTGCCTCCCTAGGTATGTTTCCTTATGTCATGCTGGCCAGCAGCCCCCTCTTCTGCTCAGCGGAATGGCCTCGGAAGCTGGTAGCCCGATGCCCCAGAAGGCTGCAAGAGCTGCTGCCCACCAGAGATGCTCCTCGGCCCAGTGCTTCCTGCGTGTATAAGAGGGCCCGGGCCAGAGCGGGCCAAAGGTTGGGGCTGCGCCACCAGCTGGGCGCAGTCTTCACCGTGCTCTACCTTCTGGAGCAGCTCTTCCTGCCCTACTCCCATTTCCTCACCCAGGTCTGTGGTTGCACAGAGCTGGGCTTGGACTGCTGGGTGTGGCGGGGTTGGGGAGGTGAGGGCTCGGCTTTTAACTCTTCCTTGCCGGAGGACGAGGTTGGGTTGAGAGACATTAAGCTGATGCTGCCTGCTCTGCCTTCCCAGGGTTACAACAACTGGACAAACGGACTGTATGGCTATTCCTGGGACATGATGGTACATTCCCGCTCCCACCAGCATGTAAAGATCACCTACCGTGATGGCCTCACTGGCGAGCTTGGCTACCTTAACCCTGGGGTGAGGCATCTGATGCTGCCAGTTCTTCAGAGGCCCCTGGGCTTTAGGATTTTATTTGGTCCTATACATATCATAAAGTAAAACAAATTTGGGTTCCCGCCCTTTCTCCAAAACCAGATAGAACCTTCTTATTTTCTTTCTTTCTTTCTTTTTTTTTTTTTTTTTTTTTTTTTTTTTTTGGTGCTGAACCAGAGCCTGACACATGTTAAGTGTATGCTCTACCATTGAGGTACATCCTCATCCCTGAACCTTTTGTAGTTTTAAAAAGTGTGTGTGTGTGTGTGTGTGTGTGTGTGCGTGTGTGTGTGTGTGTGTATGAGTGCACATGAGAGACAGACAGACATGCATGTGGAGACAACTTTGTGGAGTCAGTTATTTCTACTACTTTGTGAATTTTGCTAGCTTAAGTCATCGGGGTTTTGTGGCAAATGTTTCTTAACATGCTGAACCATCTCACTAGAGCATATTTTTAATTAATTAAGCAAGGGTCTTTCTGAGTAGCCCAGGCTAGTCCCTTTTCAGCCATTATGTCTGGTGCTGTGCTTTTAAAAATGTGGATAGATGTGAGACAGCCTGTCATTGTTTTGAATTAAGATTATGTTTTGGAAAGGTGAGTAAATACCTAGTAACGAAAAATTCACACCCCAAGACAAGTCCCTTTTTTCCCTCCCTCCTGCTCAAATTAGGCAGCAGGTGGAGATCGTTGCATTATTGGCGGTGCATGTCTTGGAGGTTGACAGTGACAACGTGGGACTAATATGGGGGTTTGGGGCAGGTATTCACACAGAGCCGGCGATGGAAGGATCATGCAGACATGCTGAAGCAATATGCCACTTGCCTGAGCCTCCTGCTTCCCAAGTACAATGTCACTGAGCCCCAGATCTACTTTGATATTTGGGTCTCCATCAATGACCGCTTCCAGCAGAGGTGGGCAAGGGGAGCAGAGACAGGGAAAGATGAGGCGCAGCTCTTTTTGTCAAGATGAAAAGCTGATGTCTCCTCATGGTGTCTTGCTTTTTACAAGGCTGTCTCTCTCTCAGTCTAGTGCATGTTGGGGTTGATCTGGTTGTGGGCATAGCTGGTTGTGTCCAGCAGGGGGCACCATCATCCAGGAGATAAGCGAACCGACTGTTCTTTCACACTGTTAACACGATGATGCCTTCTCCTCAGGTGGCCACTAACTCACATTCTTTCCTCTCCTCTCTGCCATGGACTGGCAATAACACGCTGACAGTAGGCATTTCTCCTGTTGGGAAACCCTGTTCACTCTCCATGGGTCCAATGGTGAAAGGACCAGAGATCTGGTGGGTGGGCAGCCACCGCCTCCTCAGAACGCGGTTTCCTTTTTTAAGGCTTTTTGACCCTCGTGTGGACATCGTGCGGGCTGCCTGGTCCCCCTTCCAGCGCACGCCTTGGGTGCAGCCACTCTTGATGGACTTGTCCCCCTGGAGGACCAAGTTGCAGGACATTAAGAGCAGTCTGGACAACCACACCGAGGTGGTCTTCATTGCAGATTTCCCGGGTACGGAGGACAGCGAGGGCAGATTGTGTGTGCTTTCCTTGGCTTCCTGGACCAGAGTTATTGCATATGATGGGACAGGGCGGGGACTCTCAGGAGGTGATGGTGGGGAGAGGCTGTTCTGCTGGGGTGGATGGTGAACTCTCTTAATCCCTGGCAGGGCTTCACCTGGAGAATTTTGTGAGTGAAGACCTGGGCAATACTAGCATCCAGCTGCTGCAGGGAGAGGTCACTGTGGAATTGGTGGCAGAACAGAAAAATCAGACTCTTCAGGAGGGAGAAAAAATGCAGGTATTGACTTGGCTGGGGTTGCCACAAACCAAGCTCTAGAAGTGGTGTGAGGTTTAGGGAAACGGCTCATTTATTACAGAAGAAATCTTTACCAGTGCAGTGATACAGGGGAGGCTCAGAAAGCAAGGGCTTCATGGGGCATAGAAGCACATGCCTGTCAATTTCCGGACTCGGGAGGCTGAGGCAGGAAGACTGAGAAGCCCAGGCAAGCCTGGACTACATAGTGGGACCAGAACTCAAAACACAACACGGGGAGAAAAAAAAGAAAAAGGACCCTTGAGGCTGTGAACAACTTTATCCCGATCCTAGAGGCCATTATTTCAGATACCAAGACACAGGGAAAGAAAGCGCCAGCAGATTAGAGTAGGGAGGCCAGGGGCTTTCTGGGGAGTTAGAATTGAATGTTCCTTCTGTTCCCCTGCCAGCTGCCTGCTGGAGAGTACCATAAAGTCTACACTACATCATCTAGTCCTTCCTGCTATATGTATGTCTATGTCAACACTACAGAGGTCGCGTTGGAGCAAGACCTGGCCTATCTGCAAGAGCTGAAGGAGAAGGTGGAGAACGGAAGTGGTGAGCGCATCAGGGTCAGGGTTATAGGATCTAATAGAGTGCTTGAAGCCTCCGCTGATGGGAATGGCACCTGAGAGAATGGTCCGTCTTACTGGTTCCTTTTTGTCTTCTGAACAGAAACGGGGCCCCTGCCTCCAGAACTTCAGCCTCTTTTGGACGGGGAAGTAAAAGGGGGCCCTGAGCTAACACCTCTGGTCCAGACCTTTCTAAGACGGCAGCGGAAACTCCAAGAGATTGAACGCAGGCGAAATAGCCCTTTCCATGAGCGACTCCTCCGCTTCTTGATGCGGAAGCTCTACGTCTTCCGTCGTAGGTAAGTTGCACCACAGAAGCGTTTGTCATTGCTGTCAGGGGTTTGGTCAGTTCCCCTCCTCACCTGGCTGTTTTTAATCTCTAACCTTTGCATCTTTCCATGGTCATCCCTATTCTATCCTAGAATATCGTCAGGCTTCAGAGGAGGTAGGGCCCTTGCGTTTGGGATGCGTTTGGGCAGTGAGGTAGATATTTGTGTCCTCAGGTGAGTGGGTCTGAGACCACGTGCTTCCTGAGGGCTTTGGTTGGAGTTATGTAGAAACATACATTTGGACTGTTTAACTTTCTTTCAGCTTCCTGATGACTCGAATTTCACTCCGAAACCTGCTATTAGGCCGCCCTTCCCTCGAGCAGCTAGCCCAAGAAGTGACATATGCAAACCTGCGGCCGTTTGAACCAGTTGATGAGTTGAGTGCTGTGGACACCGTCTCTTCAAACCCCAACCCTCCAGAGCCAGATTCTGAGCATGCTCACTCTGAGTTCTAAGAGGTCAGCGCCTCTGTGCAGATGTGGAGGCAGCCTGCTACAGGCTCACTGTCTATGCAAAGGATATTTATTGGAGAAAAAAAACTATTTTGAGACAAGCTTTCACAGTACAGCCCAGCCTGGCCTCAAACTCATGGTAGTCCCTCGACTTCAGCCTGAGTGTTTTATGGTTACATGTGTATCACCAAACCTAAGTTTTTTTTTCCACCCTTGTTTCCCCTCCTTATAAGTTCTTTATGATAGTTTACAGAATCCAAGGCAACAGAAATTTGAATCCCAAGCTTTTTTTATTTAAGCAACATGAACTCATCTTACAGTAAAGCAATAATTTTTCCCCCTCAAGTCAGGGTATCTCTGTCGCCCTGGCTGTCTTGGAACTCTCTGTAGACCAGGCTGGGGGTCCAACTCAAGACATTCATCTGCCTCTGCCTCCCAAGTGCTGGGATTAAAAGTGTGCTCATCCCTGCTTGCTTTTTATAAAAGTAATTTTTAAGCTGTTTAGGAAAAGTAATTTACCACAATGAAAGCATGTGTTTGCTGTCTGAAGCAGTGTACCAGAATTATACTTATTTGTCTTTGAAGAAAGGAAATTTGGTAAAATTTACCCAAGGCACCCAGAAGTTGTTGACAATTTGAATTGAAATCTGTTGGAGCAAGGTCTTATTTGCTGCTGCTTAGTAATTTTCAGAACCACTGACAGTAAAATATACTGAAGCAGTGCATTATAACTTGTGTGAATTCCAAGTGATTAGGATGGCCAAGTACTAAATGCACAAAGGAATTGTATATTTATAATTCCTTTTTGTAACCAACAAATTTTTCAGTAGCAATGGTTTCAGAATAGCACTACTAAATAGGGAAACTAGATGGCTGGCTCTAGTATAAATCAGCTTAGCGAATGGCAGTTTTCTAAGCCATGACTGAGTCATAAGCCTTGAGGTTTTCCTTTTCCTTGCATTTATCAAGCCCCATTATGTCTATTTCCTATTCATCCTATTTTTATCTTTATTGACCTATTCCTTCACCCTTTGCAGTGGGAGGGCCCACTACCTTTTTTTGCACAGGTTGGGCCCAAGTCCCACTTGATGCATACAAATCATTGTATTAGGACACTGGTGGCTATGCACAGGGAGCTCTGATTATTTCCTAACAGGAAAAACACGTTTGCATTCCTTTTTATAATCTTTCTTTTAAACACACACTACAGATATACCTTAGCACTTTTTCCAAGTTCAGCTGTTTCCTTGTTCCCTTAGCCTGCCACCCTTGTCTACCAAGACAAAACGTTTTTACTAGGGAGTGGGAGGGGTTATTTTTCAAACATGTGCTAGGAAATGAACCCAGGTTTCATGCAAAGTACATGCAAAGTTTGTACAGAAATGCTGTTCCCATGCTAATTTACTACCAGACTTTTTCCTCAAGAAAAATGTTGGGGTGAATTAAATATAGAAGAGGGCATTACTAGTTAAGCTGCTTGTGGCTCACTTGATAGAGGCTTAAGTCCTGGGTTTGATCCTCAGTACCATGTAAGTGGGTTTCTATAGTGTGCATCTGTAGTATCAGCAGAAAGATCAGTTTAAAGCCACCCTGGTATAGGTGAGACCCTTTCTGGTTAAGGTTGTATTAGTATTCCCAAGTTTGTTCTCTCAGATACTAGGATTCCAAGTAAGAGTCACACAGGGGTTTTCTAGGCTCTTTGAAATCACTAACCCTTTATCAGACAATACAGTGAATTTTCTATTTGCCATAAATTAAAATTACTTTTTACTGTTTCAATAAACTGTACTCTATGACTTCCTGCCACCACAGAAATCTCAAGCTGCCTTAAGTCCCAGGTGTTACAGGTTCCTGACTCTGCCATTGCAGAGGCATACGAGTTCTGGCTTCTGCTTATCAGGGGGGAATTAATGTAACCTGCAGAGCGTAGTAAACAAAGTGCTGAATGAACCCCAGGCCTTCGAATGGCACTTGTGAATTAAAATGCTCCTACATGTTGTCCTCACCACGTACCACACATAGCATTAAGTCAGGCTTTCTAAATTATCATTCCAAACTTTCAGCATGGCTCAAAACTTTAGTGGCAAATGCAGTAAGGGGGAGCATGTAGATTTACCTTGAAGAGCAACAAATGGACAAAGTTTGGGTAGAACCTAGCATTTTATTTAGATCTTCATTTAACTGTTGGAATTGAGAACCAGACATACGTAATAAACCTCCAAAAATAGATCCTGAAAGGCACTTTCTTGCTTAGGGCAAGCAGTCATGGAATAAGCATGTAAACAAGCTGGCTTCTCTGTACCACACCAGCCAAGTCCGCTTTCTCCATGGCCAGCTGCACCAGCTCTGCCCTCCCTTCTGTTAACACCAGCCAGACCCCCTGTAGGTCTAACCCAAGGTTTTTCTGTAGGACACCTTGGCCTACCTGGGAATGCTGGAAACATGTTAAAGGAATCATGGTGTTGAGGAAAAAAAAAAAAAAAAAAAATCTTTTAAAAGCTGCCATCTGAGGTGATGGCTTCTCTGTACTTACGCCATACCCCAGAATACAATAAATAAGCAATTAGAAAATGTTCAAGTATGAAGGGATTTCCTCCTCCCCGCCAAAAGCACTGCTCTCTGAAGGAAGCTGGTTTCTCTGTAGCTACACCAGCTGTTCAGAAAGCTCATTGGACCTGGTTTTGAAAATAAAACAAAGTTAAAACCCTGGGAGGAGCTATTGTGCAGTGTGGAGTACTGTCTTTCTTATAAAGAAAAAAAAAGTTACCTGGTACCAAAGTGTGCAACCTACAGACCCTCAGGTACTGCCCTGTGACTTCTCTGTATGACATCACAAGGGTGCCAAGTGCCTGTTTTTCTAGAAATTGGTGAGGTTTGGCTAGTGCTGAAACCATGCATAGGATTGGTTTACTAAATAAAACCTTATTACGTACGTCCTCCAAAGACAGCTGAAAAGTGGAGAGATTTTGATTTGGTGCTGTTTAAGAGGTGGCAATTAATAGCATAAGCACCAGGGAGATGGTTTAATTGTAACTGCCTTTTTTTTTTTTTTTTAAACAAGTCAGGCTAGAGCTCCAAATGAAACTTGCGTTTCATGCAAGATTGATTGGATAGGGAACACTCCCTGACAAAGAACTACATAATTAGAAATGACTGAGTTACAGGGAGGATGAGGGAAGGGGCTTCACATTCAATAAATAGAGCTCAGGACATTACAAATTCATGCTGACAGGGCTATGTATGGCATTGCCAAAGTCTATAGTCAAACTACAAGTACTTTACGTGCACATTACAAGGACATTTTCAGCATCTGGTGGGAAAGTAATTGCAATTAGGACTTTGGAGGATTAGGTGATAGGGCACAAAGGTTCGATTTCAAAGCATTATTCACTACAGTGTTTGTTTCTAGGCAGTTACATGGATCACCTATGCTCACTATATCCATTATAATGGTGAACAAAACACCTAGGGACAGAATAGCAAGCCCAACTTACAGTCCCCCACAAAAGCTAAAATTCATGTCATTGATTAGAGTGACTGCAACTGATCAGGAGCTGAAAGAGGACAGAAAAGTTTAGGAAGAAGGGCCCTTTCCCTCAGAGCTTGAAGGCTTCTCTGTAGCCTACGCCATCAAGTCTGGGGAAAAAAGGCTAACACTTTCAATATTTAAGCTTTTTGGGCACTTCCCATGGGAAGCTGTCCCTACCAAAGTGGCCATAGGCTGCAGTCCTCTGATAAATTGGCTTCTTCAGATCCAGATCCCTGGAATATACAAGTCCATAACTTAATATGTAGCATTAAATTAAAACAAAGCAAAACAATCAGCAAGACTCATTTCAAGAGCTCTGGCAAATGAGTTCAGTTCTCCCTGGGGTTTGCTAGGAAAAAAGTTCATGGCAAAAGTGTTACTTCCCTGGTGTCCAAACTCCTTGAACAGTTCTTTATTAGTAACTATAGTCCTTGTTTTCCAGCCCTGGCTTGACAAATATGAAAACTTATCATTCCAATTAAATACTTACCAAGGTCCAATCACTGCTACTATGGTTATTTTCTTTGTAACTTTGAACATCCCACCTTATTAATTCTTAAGGCAGCACCCTTAGTTAAGGTAAGCACAAAGCTCAGTATCAAAGATGGAGAATTTAGAACGTTACTGAGTCACAGAATACTTTATCAGCTAGGCAATTTAAAATACTGGCATATTCTAGGAATTAAAATTTATTTCCCTACATCGAGGAGTCTACCTTCATTTCCTCAGATTTTAGTATATGTCCACCCCACCCCTTATTTCTCACTAGCAATAGGCTTTACCATCTTTACCTGACAATGACCCCAGGGCGAAGATCAAAATTCTTCTTTACAATTTCTAATAGCTCTCTCTCACTCTTCTGAGAAGTACCATAATGGAAAATGGAGATCGACAATGGATGAGAAACTCCGATAGCATAAGAAACCTAAAAGTCAGTAATATATTGTTATAAAATAGGAAGTATATAAACTATTTTACTAAATACCCTTTTCCCATTTACCTGTTCATTACATACCTGAACAAGAACCCTCCTGCACAGACCTCCTTTAACAAGGGACTTTGCAACCCAACGAGCAGCATAAGCAGCTGAGCGGTCCACTTTGGTATAATCCTTTCCTGAAAAGGCCCCTCCTCCATGAGCTCCCCAACCGCCATAAGTGTCCACAATGATTTTTCGGCCAGTCAAACCAGCATCACCCTGAAATTACAGGATTTAACTCATGTAATCTTTTCTAGTGAGTGATTCTTGACTAGGCTATTAGGAACCATTCGAGACCCACATGCAGAAGCAGTAGCTCACATGTATAACCCTACTGCTTAGAAGGTTGAGGCAGGACAAGGTGTTGAAGGCTGGCTGTACACAGCCATATAACATCAGGCACAGTGATAATTTGGTGGTAGCCTGGACCACACATGACATGGAGTTATGTGTGTGGTTGGAGCAGCTAGAAAAAAGATGGCAGCAACCAAAATTTTCAACTAAGCAGCAATAACCAAAACATTTCATACATTCATTACCTGAGGCCCACCAATGACAAATCTGCCACTTGGCTGTAGGTGGTAAATTGTATCCTCATCAAGGTATTTTGCAGGCACAACAGCTTTGATCACTTTCTCCTTTAGAGCATCCCTCATCTCATCAAGACAAACTTCTTCATCATGTTGCACTGATATAACAATTGTGTGGACTCTGATAGGAAGTACAGCACCTCGATCTTGCATATACTGCACAGTCACCTTGAGTGCAAAATAGACCAGAACACTTGTCTAACCAGCTTTGTTCTCTATCATAAGTTTAAATGTAGCCAAAAGATAGGTATTATTCTCCTCAGCCAGCTATAATTAACTTAGGAATTTTAATTTAATTTGATGAACGTAGGTTTAAAATCACTACTTACTTGAGTTTTAGAATCTGGGCGTAACCAAGGCAATGTGCCATTGCGGCGTAGTTCAGCCAGTTTGGCATTTAGTTTGTGTGCCAACACAATGGTTAAAGGCATACACTCTTCAGTTTCATCAGTGGCATAACCAAACATCAAACCCTAAGTAAGAAGTGGCAACAGTGAGATCTTAAGTTCTAGAACTCAATCTTAAGAAGAGATGCGAATAAACTCTCACAATACCTGGTCTCCTGCACCAATGTCTTCTTCATTCCGGTCAAGATGCACACCTTGGGCAATATCTGGTGACTGTTGTTCCAAGGCAACCAACACATTACAAGTCTTGTAGTCAAACCCTACAAACAACAAGGTGTTTCAATAACCCTCTTCTTTAAGTGAAAATGGTTGGACACTCCTACTTTCTAAAAGAAAAGGGTACCCAGGCTGTGTTGGCCCACACATCATTAATCCCAGCACCTGGGAGGCAGAGGCAGGCAGATCTGAGTTCCCAGGCTTCAGAGAAACCCTGTCTTGGAGGGAGGGAAAACAAATAAATGGGTAAGGGCTAAAAGGAGAAAAAATATTGATGGTTTGAAACAAGTCCTTAACTTGGTTGGCCTTAAACTAAGCAGTTAACTGCTGCCTGACCTCCAGAAGTTGAATTTACAGGTGTCTCATGCCTGGCCACTCCATTGATGTGAATCTGTATTTTATTTGTAAAATAATTGTTTTGCATTAAATGTCATAGTTTAAAGGACAGAGTAGGTTGGGTCAGAAAGCTGAGAGGATGTGGTCAAACTATGTAATCAGTTAAGGATTACTGATAACATTCTAGAAGCGTCTCCCAGCAGCATCATATTCTATGTCTGCAAAAATTTGAGTTCACAGAAAATATTTAAAACAAACCTTTGGAAGAATCATCATATCCAATGTGCTTAATGGCTTCACGAACCACTTTCTGGTAATCAATGGCAGCTCTGGACGTAATTTCCCCAGCAAGTAGGATCATTCCAGTTTTAGCAACAGTTTCTAATAAAACAGAAATTTATACCTAAAATTAGTTGGGGGTGGATGCTAGTTGGAAAATTCTATATCCATGCTGTACATGCTTTATCCCTTCATTTTCTACTTCTGAGATAAGGTCTTGCTAAATTGCCCATTTAACCTCCCAGACTTTACTTCAAATGCTCCCCTTTCCATTCATAAACAAGTGTTGTATACCTACCACAAGCCACTTTGGCATCGGGGTCCTGCTGAAGGTGAGCATCCAGAACAGCATCACTGATTTGATCACAGATCTTATCTGGAAAAAAAAAATATATACCCGATTCAATTTAACTGCTACTGATGACCCTACTACCTATCATGTAACAAGCAGTTGGTGCCCAAGTATACTTGTGAATTTGTAATGATAGAATTCTTGACATGCTGTCCAAAGATTATATATAGACTTATTCTGTACCAGAAAAATCTCTGGAGTCCTTTCTTTTGGTTTTGAGAAAGAATTCCAGCATATTACACAGTATGAGCTCAAACTCATGGAAATCCTGACTCCCACATGCTGGAATTAAACCATGTGCCATCATTCTGGGCTCGAGATTTTTATGGTAAAAACAAATTAAAAACAGTATTATTTATGCACATATGGTTCACACTTGTGCCATGGTGTTCATGTAAAGATCAGAAGACAACATTAAAAAGGAGTTGGTTTTCCATTATGTTATGTATCCCAGGGTTAGGCCACATAAACTCAGATTAATCAAGTCCAACAGAAATGGTGATTATCTTGAAATCCCAAAGCCTATCCCAGTAAATATTTACTGGGATAGTGTATTTTAGAGACCAACTGTTAACCCCACTTAAAATTCGTTACAAATTTAACCCTCTAAAAGAGCCAAGTGTCAGGTTACTAATTTCTTATTATTACAAACAATGAGTTCCTCAAGTTTTAACTAGAACCAAACCTGTTCCTGAGGTTCTGAATAATCCAAGGCCTATGTAGACCAACCACTTTAACCTTAAAAACAGCAACCCAGGAGTAACAGCAAGAGGAAAATGATCCAGGAAACGGTCCAAATGCGTTCTATATAGCACGTTCAGTTTCTCCTGGCTGTATCATCTCTTTAGAAAAGGACAGGGTACTGGATTGGAATGTGTGTAGCCCAGGCTGCCCTCAAACTCAATCTCCTGCCTCTGCACTCCAAATGCTGCAATTACAGAAGTGTACCGCCATGCTTGGCTCCTGTCTCCTGGATTGTGTTACCACTCCCTCCCAAAATGCGCAGTTACACAGCCGTAAGACCTAACCCATCCTGTAATAAGGAGCAGCTCAATCGACATGGAGAGGCGCCTTCTCTGAGGAAAACCCCACCGCAGCAACACTTGATTTTCATTCATCACTCATCAAGACCATCCCAGGTCCGTTCTCCATCACTAATTAGGCCACTAACTAAAAGCAGACCGGGTTGTTGGTTGATGCGGACCCCCCTTTACCACAAGCAGCTCAGAGAGCACAGCGTTTGCTAGATGCTGCGTTCAGCCCGAGACCCAAAGTTGCCGAAAATAGCCTCACTGTAACCCATCTCATCATGGCGGCTCGGTGGACAAAGCCAAAGGGAACGTGAAGCAGGAAATCGCCAG